GTAGTGACCTCAGCGCCCCAATACGCACTGCTTCTCTAGGAGGGGCCTTGCCCAGTTGAACAGGGGTTGGTGGTATTTGTGGCAGTGTGTAACATCAGGGAATCATTTAGGTTGGAAAAGACTGTTAATATCATCAATTGTAAACCTTACATTGACAAGTTCACCAGTAAACCATGTCCTGAAATGCTGCGCCTACACAGGGATGGTGACTCAAACACTTCTCTGGGCAACTCGTTCAGTGAGGAAATTTCTTTCAGCTCTCCCTTGGTACAAAGTAAAATGAAAGCTGTGTGTGCAACCTGCATGTATGAGGTAAGGATGAAGATGCCACTGATCATCTGACTGGAGGAAGGCTTGGAGAACTGGAGATTTCTTTGTTTTACATGCGATGTTACTGAGCTGGAAGTTCGCATAATGTGTGTGGTCTGACTGACCTTTTCAGTTGTGGTTGTGCATGTGCATATTCTTAACTTCTAGAAGCTCTGCTGACTCCATGTCAGAATGTAACGGATGGGTAGTCAAACCACAGAAGCTCAATTTTGAGGTCAGTGCCTTGGGCTTCATAATTAATTTTGTATTTTGAAGGTTTAAAACCAAACTTAAACATAATGATTTGTACTACTTTGGCTGCTGCCAAATTCTGTAATGACTGTTGTTCAACAAGCACAATTATCTTTTGTTTTGCATTTAAAAAACCCTAGAAATCTAATGAAACTGTCTCTGATGTTCTCATGCATTTATGAGTGCAAGGAGGGATGAGACTTTAGCTTGGGTCTTTAAAACTGTAGCTTCGAGAATCTCTTTTGCCCAATGTTTTGGAAGCTTTTCACTATGAGGGAAAAGGAGAATACCTCCATATTAAGCATTAAAGCCATATATTTTAAGAAGAGGTTGTAAATGCAAATTAGCCAGACAATGGCATTTTAATAATGTTTGGTGAGGTTAGCATCACATTAGTAAGGGTATTTTAAAAGTCATATTATCTGTAGGCAGTGTGGTCTCACGAGATTGGTTGTGAATATGTTAGAGGGCTTGTGGGAATTATGGATTTATTTAATGGTGGCTGCATTTGGTTGTTTTCTTTTTTTCCTCCCAGACTTCCTCTTATGATGTTGAGTTAGTGGATTTGGTAACTCCTCTCTCACTCCACCTCCATTCCTCTCTAATTCTTCTTACTGTGCTGTCTGAAAATTTAAAGAATTAGGAAGATGTTGCCTTGGCTGGTCATGATAGAAATGTGCCAATCTTGCTTTGTCTCCTTTCCTTTTGTTTGCTTCCTGCTGGTGCATTAATACATGCACTTGAAAATGCTCTTTGCTGATGGGTCTCTCACTGTTTCATATTCCACATAGATGAAAAAGAGAGAAAAATGTACTTTGTGTTTCAGGTTTTTTTGATATATGAGCTCAAACTAGCAGTTTGTGTTTTTCTTCGCTTTTTTGCAATGTCTGAATCTTAAAGAAAAATGTGGAAATGGTAGAACAGAATCTGTTACAAAATGCTTCATCCTGCTTCCAGGGTGATGCATGGTGAAAACATCAAATTGAAGTCCATTCAGCTGTACGTGATGTTTCTTCCTCATAGCTGCAGTAAGATTAACCTCTTCTTTGACTTGGTGCTGCTGAGATTCGAGCTGGAACCCATTAGAAAGTTTCCATCAGGTTTTGCAATCAGCAACAATTAACCAACTCTCAACTCTTCCTTCTGATTTGTAGCTTGAAAGGGTGCTGTTGCTTTGTCTAGACAGCAACCAGCGTCCCTGACAATGCCTTCTCGAAGCATCAGCATATCGTCACTGCTGGAGATGGGGATGATGGTGGTTTCCACCTCCTAAAGCTGCCAGGATTATCTTTTTTTGCCACCTCAGGTTTGCTCTCCCTTCTGGTTTTCTATTTTGTAAGCTGGCCTGAAGTTTGCAAAGGAGACAGAACTGAAAGCGTTTTGCAGTAGTGTTCTAAAGGGTCTGAAGTTTTCTGGTAGCGGGGGGAGAGCACGTGGAGGGAAGAGTGAGATACATGTATGTGTGTCTGTGCGCGTGCGTGTGTTGTTTTTCCTCTTTTCTACACAATGGAGCTTTCAGAGAACCTCTCTTAAAAGGCACAGCTACAGCCTTTGTGTGAAGGGTGTGTCTGCTGGCAGGGTTTGCTGATGCAGACAGGCTGGCTGGTGATTAACAAAGGTCATTAGACTTTGGAATCTGGCAGGGGAGTGGGGTGGTGTTCTTCTGCACCAGCAGGAGGACTCCCCCAGGGACAGGGCAGGCTGGAGGCCCCCTGCCCACCTCTCCCCCTCCTTCTTCTGGGAGACTCAGCTGTGTGTTGCCTCTGCCTGTAGGACAGCTTGGACCAGCGTCTTGGTGCTGTAATGCTCAGTTTCTTCAATGAACTTGTCACATTCGTCAACCACTGGGCAGGGGAACCAACCCTTAGGAGATGGTTGTGGGTGATCTGCTCAGGGAAGGCAGGTCCTGCTTGGGCAGTGCAGGGGGACAGCAGCGACATGATTTAGGGAGAAAGTCATGCAGGAGAAGGGGAGATGTGTTCTGTGGATGCTGATTTTTCAAGCACCACCCAAGGAAGGAGGAGGAGGAGAAAAAGGGGGAAAAAAAGAAAAAGACTGCTGTGTGCTTGAGATGAAGCTGAGATAAGTGAGGCCATGTTGTGCACAGGCGAGAAGCTCTGAGCCTCTGAGTGCAGGAGTTGTCTGAGCTAAAATGGCTGCTCCCAAAGCTCAGAGGACTAGGGCAGCTTAGTGAGTCTTAAAGCTTCAGTGACGCAGGGGCTCATATCTCTTGAAAGTGTGATAAACACATTCAGCAGAGCTGTGGCTTGTTTGGCTGAGATGAAAGGACTAAGCTTGGGGGATGGGTAGTGAAAACTGGATGATCTGCTTTTCTGTGAAGTGCTCTAAATGCAGGAGTCGTCTGCTCCATGGAAAAATTTGTTTTCAGGTCTAATGGACTGTGCTAAAGGAGACGTGGGGTGGGGCTTCACTCACTGCTGTAATTTGATCCAGAGCAGATAGCAACCTCTTCCACACAATTTGGTCTGGTGCTTGCACATAAAAGCTTGAGTATTTCGATTATTGTAACTTTGTTAGCTGAGAAGAAGCTGGTGCAGCGTTCATTTTCTTTATTGGTGGTGGGAGGGTGTGAGGGGAGAGAAAAGACACAGTGCAGACTGCAAAGTAATGTAGATAAATATGTGGAGAGCCTCTGTGCTCAGATTGTCTAGAATTTGACTTGCTAGAAGTTTATTTTAGCAGGCTCTCAGAAGAAGCAGTCTTTCATATAAAATCCTGATGCAGTACCCTTTCTTGTTTCTTTGCTCTACAGTTTTAGAGCTTTCACTGTACATACAATAAGCACATGGAATTTTAAGTGCTTGGGTCTGCCCTTGTGTCTTGGGACTCTGAAAAGCTCAGTTTCTCATCCTTTCCCAGCGCTGCACATGGAAGCTTAAAGAAGTAATTCCTGTATTAACAAAGGACAGTTGCTCTCGTGACTGACTGCTGCACAGAGTAGGAGGGTCTAAGTCTTTGTCTTGGTTGTGCTTTCTTGTCTCCTCTCTTGGTGACGTGTAAACATGCAGCCCTCTTGCAGGATTAACTAGTCACAAGCAGAACCATCACACTTCATGTTACCAGGTTTTCTGTTGCTGTGTACTGATAGATATGCAGGGCTTTTGGTTAAATCAAGGAAGTTATGATGCCTCTGAGTCTTTGTAACTCCCTTTTCCATCGTACTTTTCAGTATTCCCATTACTGTCCTTTTCTTCCTCCAGTCCTCTTCATCCCCTAGACTGCCAATGCACAAAGGTCATGTCCTCAGAATAGACTAAAATGAAAGTAAGTATTTTAACAAAGAATGGACATGCCCTTACAAAGTTTGGTGGAAGTAAGGCAGAGTGAAGCTTTCTACCTTGGTTCATGCAGCTGTATCTCACCTTGCAGTTAAGTCTAGGCTTTCCACCAGCATCAGGACTGAGGTGCTGGACTGTGTCCAAAGACGGGCAGTGAAACTGGTGAAGGATGTAGAGAACAATTTTTATGAAGAGTGGCTGAGGGAACTGGAGTTGTTTAGCTTGGAGAAAAGGCGGCTCAGGAGAGACACTATCACTCTCTACAGCTGCCTGAAAGGAGATTGTGGCGTCATGGGTGTTGGTCTCTTCTCCCATATAACAAGTGATAGGACTAGAGGAAATGGCCTCAAGTTGCACCAGGAGAGGTTTGGATTTGATATCAGGAAAAAAATGCTTCACTGAAAGGTTTATGAAACATTGCAACAAGCTGCACAGGAATGTAGTTGAGTCACCATCCTTGGAGGTGTTTGAAAGACGTGTGGATGTGGTGCTTAGGGACATGGTTTAGTGCTAGGTTACCAGCCGTAACCTTTATGATCTTAAAGGTCTTCTCTAACCTAAACAATTCTGTGATTCTATGTTAGGATGTTGAGAAGAAAGGCAACTTCATTCCTCTGAAGGCTTTTGATCTGTGGTAGTGAATCAGACAGGTCTTCACAACCTCCAGGAAGGTCAGAGTAGGTCTTATAAAGGCAGAAGCCATTGTCTTCTGATTGTAAATTTCAGTGCATGACTGGGAGTAATGTGCTCTTTCTCTAGCATATGGGTTGTGGTCTTTAAACAGGACAAATTTCTGAACAACAGCCCTGTCCTGTGTAATGGAAAAGCCAAGAGGACAAAGTCCATTGAATCAATAGTCACTTGTCAGAAAGTTGACTGTAGAGTTGAGTCAGCAACTTGTGAGCTACCTAGATAGGACTTCATGTACATCTGAATTGATGCCTCTTAATATCATAAGCAAAGGTTGAGTTTTATGCCACAGTATTTGTGAAATCTCTAGAAATAACTTGAGTCATCATAAGCTTGATATTAGCTATTTTCAGGTTTTGGTACAACGGCATTGCTGTAAAACATACCTTTCGTGTCTCCTTCCTGTGTTTTATTCCAGAATTTTCTAATGTAAAAGATCATCCCTGAATCATGGAGGTGCTGCAGTGCGATGGCTGCGATTTTCGAGCTCCATCTTATGAAGACCTGAAAGCTCACATTCAGGATGTTCACACTGCTTTTCTGCAGCCAACTGATGTCTCTGAGGAAAGTCCTAGCCAGCCGAGGTCTGGTTCCATGAATGCCAGCAACCAGACTGAGGTTGAATTTTCTTCTGTAAAGGATGAATTTGCAATTGCAGATGAAATAGCAGGTAAATCTCAACTCTTAAGATTGATCTTGACCTAAGATCTCAACTCCAACTCCCTGTTTTACATGTGACTTCTTTCAGTATGCTTTAGTTTGTACTTTTAATGTGATTTAAAAAGAAAACTCGCAGTGGTAGCAAAGCAGATATCTAGCTTCAGCCATACTGATTCTGACCATGGCTTTTTTCTGTAAATGCAGGCATGGAGGATGGTTTTATCTGTCAGCTGCTTTTCATGTAGTTCTTGGTACTACTTTTTGGGTTTCAGATTTTCATGGTTGTTCTTCGCTGCTATGAACCACCTGAAAATTTGCAACTTTATTAGTGTACCAGCTTTCTTCTTTCCCCAGGAAGATTGTTTTGGAAGTTTTCTACTCCAAAGTGTACACCACAATCATATATATGTAGAAATTATGCTTAATGGTCGTTTCTCTCACCATTGCCAGATATATAAATCTTACCCTAAGTAAGTGAGGGAATACTAATGTGATTATTATTTATTCAGGATGTGGTTGCATTCTTATGCATACAGGGTGGGTGGAGAAAAAGCCTCTTAAATTGATTTTATTTATTTACATATACACCTTAATTCTCATTTTAGGGCAAAATGCTACAAGTCAGATGGGGACTGGAAGTTACTATAGCCAGAGCCAGACTTTCTATGGTCAGCACATGGCTCCAAACCCTAAACCAACCAACAAGTTTTTCCAGTGCAAGTTTTGTGTGCGGTACTTCCGTTCCAAAAATCTCCTCATAGAGCACACACGCAAGGTTCATGGAGCACAGGCAGGGGGGAGCTCAGTGGGACCATCAACTACTAGTTCCCTAAATTACAACATCATGATGTATGAAGGGTTTGGCAAAGTTTTCAGTTGCCAGTTCTGCACCTACAAGTCACCCAGGCGTGCAAGGATTATTAAGCACCAGAAAATGTATCACAAAAGCAACCTGAAAGAGAGTTCAACTCCTCCTACTCCTACTGCTGCTGCTGCTATGTCTGAATCAACATCTGCTTCTGTGCCAGTGCAGGAACCCTGCAAGGAGCTGCCTGCAGAGGTGGTGGAGCGGAGCATTTTGGAATCCATGGTCAAGCCTCTGACAAAGTCTAGGGGCAACTTTTGCTGTGAGTGGTGCAGCTACCAGACGCCTCGAAGGGAGCGCTGGTGTGACCACATGATGAAGAAGCACCGCAGCATGGTAAAAATACTGTCAAGCCTAAGGCAGCAACAAGATGGAACCGGTGCACCTGAGGTACAGAGTAAGAGTGCTCAGAATGCCTCTCCAAACTCTAATTATATCTCCATGAATGCAACAGGACGTGAGATATCGAATGCTAATGTTTCAAACTTTAGGAGCTCTATGGGCAGTTCCCTTATCAGGCCCAACTCTTCTACATCTTCCAAGTTTTCTTCTGTGTCTTACCCTCCAATAAAGCCTAAGTCACCTCACAACTCGGGCATGGTTAATTTGTCTGACAGGTCCCGCTATGGAATTGCTGATATGACGAATTCTTCTGCTGACCTGGAAACAAGCAGTATGCTAAATGACTCCAGCTCGGATGAAGAGCTAAATGAAATGGACAGCGAGAATGGCTTGAACTCCATGGATCACCAGACCTCAGGAATGTCTGCAGAGCAGCTGATGGGATCTGATGGCAACAAACTATTGGAAACAAAGGGAATTCCCTTTAGAAGATATATGAACAGGTTCCAGTGTCCTTTTTGCCCTTTTCTGACAATGCACCGTCGAAGCATTTCCCGTCACATTGAGAACATCCACCTGTCTGGGAAGACAGCTGTGTACAAGTGTGATGAATGCCCTTTCACCTGCAAGAGTTCGCTGAAGCTTGGTGCCCACAAGCAGTGTCACACAGGAACAACATCAGACTGGGACGCTATGAACTCTCAGACTGAAAGCATCGCCTCCTCTTTGAACGACAGCACAGTATCTTATGAGAGTGGAAATATAAATGGCAGGAAGTCAGCTGGGATGATGGAACCGGTGCAGGCGCAGCAGCAACAGCAGTCACCCCAGCCCCATTCACAGCATCCATACAAATGCACAATGTGCAACTATTCCACCACAACTTTGAAAGGTCTCAGAGTCCATCAGCAGCACAAGCATTCATTCTGTGACAACTTGCCCAAATATGATGGACCACCGTCAAACACACCGCAAGAGAATGAGGCAGATGCTCACCCCTCAGCCAGCACAGTGAAGAAGAGCCAGACCTCCATCCTTGGGCTCTCATCTAAAAACAACTTTGTTGCTAAAGGCCCTAGGAAGGTGTCAAATGACTTCCCTTTAGATCTCTCGCCAGTGAAGAAGAGAACCAGAATTGATGAAATAGCAAGCAACTTGCAGAGCAAAATCAGCCAAAACAAGCAGCAAGAAGATGCTGTGATTAATGTAGAGGATGATGAAGAAGAGGAGGAGGACAATGAGGTGGAGATAGAAGTGGAATTAGACAGAGAAGAAGAGCAAACAGAACCGATGATAGAGGTTTCCAGTTCTTACGCACCCCAGCAAATGTGGGGCAGAGAGGCTAACGATTCCCAGAAGGAGACAAACTTCAGAAGCATGCAGCATGACTACAATTCTACCAATGGAGCGGAGATTGAGCTCACTTTATCTGAAGATGAAGAAGACTATTACTCGTCTGTCAGCATGAAGGACCATCAGAGCCCGAATGCCTCTGTTCTTGGGAGCCAGTCAAACATGTATGGTACTGATCAGAACAACGAGAATTCAGAGTTTAATGACTCTGGCAGACTTTACTATTGTAAACACTGTGACTTCAGCAACAAATCTGCCAGAAGTGTAAGCACCCACTACCAGCGAATGCATCCCTATATTAAATTCAGCTTTAGGTATATTCTGGATCCCAATGATCACAGCGCAGTATACCGGTGTCTTGAGTGCTACATTGACTACACAAATTTTGAAGACTTACAGCAGCATTATGGAGAGCATCATCCTGAAGCCATGAATGTACTGAACTTTGATCATTCTGATCTGATCTACCGCTGCCGCTTCTGCTCTTACACAAGCCCGAATGTTAGAAGCCTGATGCCCCATTACCAAAGAATGCATCCCACAGTGAAAATTAACAATGCAATGATATTTTCAAGCTATGTTGTTGAGCAGCAAGAAGGGCTGAACACAGAGTCTCAGACACTGAGAGAGATCTTGAATTCTGCTCCAAAAACTATGGCAACCTCCACCCCCGTGGCTCGTGGAGCTGGTGTGCCAGCTGGTTTCAACAAAAGTGCCGCCAAGAGTTTTAGTCCTGAATGTGAAAATCAGAAAGAACCTTCAGTCAATAGTGTGGTTGTTTATGACTGTGATGTGTGTTCATTTGCAAGCCCTAACATGCATTCTGTGTTGGTGCATTACCAGAAAAAACACCCTGAAGAAAAAGCATCATATTTCAGAATTCAGAAGACCATGCGTGTAGTCTCTGTTGATAGGGGCTCTGCCCTGGCTCAGATGTCTTTTGAGTTGGGGACACCTGTCTCCCCAAAATTATCCAACTTGGCTTCTCAGCCTGCCCCCCCACCCCCTCCGGACCTCGCTACAGAACTCTACTATTGCAAACATTGTTCATACAGCAACCGCTCAGTTGTGGGAGTGCTTGTCCACTACCAGAAAAGACACCCAGAGATAAAAGTCACTGCCAAATACATCAGACAGGCACCCCCTACTGCAGCGATGATGAGGGCTGGTGAGCTGCCACCTGGTATTCAGAGGCCACCGGTGTCAATGCAGCAGTTGAGCCGAGGTGGATCTGAGACCTCTGTGAATCCTCCAGAGAATGAGATGTTCTTCTGCCAACACTGTGATTATGGAAATCGGACCGTGAAAGGCGTGCTCATTCATTATCAAAAGAAGCATCGTGACTTCAAAGCTAATGCAGATGTGATCAGGCAGCATACAGCCACCATTAGAAGCCTTTGTGATCGCAGCCAGAAGAAGTCGGCTGGCAGTGTGCCTGCTCACACCTCCAGCACTGAACGGGACAAGTCAAAGCTGAGAGCCCTCAAATGCAGGCAGTGTAGCTACACATCACCCTACTTCTATGCATTGAGGAAGCATATTAAGAAAGACCATCCGAATCTGAAGGCCACGGTCACCTCCATTCTGAGATGGGCATTTTTGGATGGCTTGATAGAAGCTGGTTATCACTGTGAATGGTGCATTTATTCACACACAGAACCAAGTGGTTTGCTTGTACATTACCAAAGGAGACATCCTGAGCATTATGTTGACTATACATATATGGCAACTAAACTCTGGGCGGGTCCTGATCCTTCCCCTCCTGCCCTAGTGATGTCAACAGAGATGAAGACCTATAAATGCAGAGACTGCATTTTTGAAGCATCTTCCATTTGGGATATTACTAATCACTACCAAGCATTTCACCCATGGGCCATGAATGGAGATGAATCTGTGTTGCTAGACATCATCAAGGAGAAAGATGCTGCGGAGAAATCCATCCCACAGCCTGATGAAGCTGGAGCCAGGATGGATTCTGAAGACCAGATCACAACGTCACAGATGGATCAGGATGCAGAATGTGCAGAAGATCCTAGCCTTTCCCAGGAAAAAACTGTTCAGCTGGCTTCTGCAAACCCTGCCATCTCCTCCACTCCATATCAATGTACAGTTTGCCAGTCTGAGTACAATAACCTGCATGGCCTTCTGACACATTACGGCAAAAAGCACCCTGGCATGAAAGTGAAAGCTGCGGACTTTGCTCAGGATATAGACATTAACCCAGGGGCTGTGTATAAATGTAGACATTGCCCATACATCAATACACGTATTCATGGTGTTCTCACACACTACCAGAAACGGCACCCATCAGTAAAGGTCACTGCTGAAGACTTTGTGCATGATGTGGAGCAATCAACTGATATTGCTCAGAACGATGTGGAAGAGACAAGCAGGATTTTCAAGCAAGGCTATGGTGCTTATCGGTGCAAGCTCTGCCCATACACCCATGGAACACTTGAGAAGCTGAAAATTCACTATGAGAAGTACCACAATCAACCTGAATTTGATGTTTTTGCCCAGTCACCACCAAAGGTGTCTGCCTCAGTGGAGCCAGACTTGATGACTGAAATCAAGGCCTCCCCAGAAATTGCTGCTGAGGATGTTGGAGAAGTCTCTGTGCCAGCACCTCATTTCTCCAGTTCTCATTTAGTGTCTCACACAGTTTTCCGGTGTCAGCTCTGCAAATACTTCTGCTCGACCCGGAAGGGGATAGCGAGACACTACCGCATCAAACATAACAATGTTCGGGCACAGCCAGAGGGCAAGAACAACCTGTTCAAATGTGCCTTGTGTTCATATACCAACCCTATCCGCAAAGGGCTCGCGGCACACTACCAGAAAAGACATGACATTGATGCTTACTACACTCACTGCTTAGCAGCCTCCAGGACGGTAAGCGACAAACCCAATAAAGTGATCATTCCATCTCCTCCCAAGGATGACACTCCTCAGTTAAGTGAGGAGCTGAGGAGGGCTGTAGAGAAGAAGAAGTGCTCACTTTGTTCCTTCCAGTCCTTCAGCAAAAAGGGTATTGTGTCTCACTACATGAAGCGTCACCCTGGTGTTTTCCCTAAGAAGCAGCATGCGAGCAAGCTGGGGGGCTACTTCACTGCTGTGTACGCTGATGAGCATGAAAAGCCAGTTCCAGCTGAGGAGAGGAATGACTTTGAAAAGCCAGAGGTGGAGACTGAAGCTCAGGAAATTGAGTGGCTTCCCTTCAGGTGCGTAAAGTGTTTCAAGCTGTCCTTCAGCACAGCAGAGCTGCTGTGCATGCATTACACTGACCACCACAGCAAGGATTTGAAGAGGGACTTTGCCATACTGGGAAGTGGCACCCGCTCTCAAAGCCCTGTCTACCAGTGCAAGCACTGTGATACGAAATTGCATAGCACAGCAGAGCTGACCGCACACTTGAATGGTCACAACGAGGAATTCCAGAAGCGTGCCAAACGTCAGGAGAGGAGGAAGCAGCTTTTGAGCAAGCAGAAATATGCAGATGGTGCTTTTGCAGATTTCAAACAAGAGAGGGTAAGGATTTGTGTGTCTAGTCTCTTTCCACAGGGAGCCCACTAATGCCCACTTGCATGTTCTCTTTGACAGCTAAATGACCACAGCCTAATGAATGACTCAGCATGCCAGTGAGCTCCACGAGTCAATTAAACATTCTGCTTTAATTTCCTTATCCATCCTCCACATCTCCCTAGGTTCTGTAGGGAGCCCTGCTCCTTACTGCTTTCTTCAGTATTTTCTTTTGTCTTCTTTTCCTCCCACCCTTCTGGAAGGCCATCTGTATCTTACAGTTCCTTGTTCTTTTGTTGCAAGGCTGCCATGTACTTTGTTGCAGATTCTTTACAAAATGTCCCACCTCTCTCTTCAGTGTACTTTTCAATAACAGATCAGTTTCCATCTCAACCTTCTTTTCCTCTCAATAGTTTCTCTGATTAAGCACTCAACATAAATCTGTCTGGTGACTGAAACTTTGGGCAAGTGCCTCATAAGCAGAAGACCAAACTGTGCTCCTTCTCTTGCCCACTTACCCCCTTCTTTCTGCTTTAGTTTGAAATATACTTGCTGTGAAAAAGCTCCACAAAGCTGTTGGGGAGGTCATGGTGCTATGGAAGAGCACAGTTCTAGGACACACAGGACGGTCTTCTAGAGGAACACTGTTATGCAGAAACTGGAGGTTTCTTCTGCATGGATGCCTTGTCTTCTTATTCTGGAGATATCAATAGACATCCACAAAAATTGGCCTTGCAGTTCTGCAAAACAGGATGTGTACATGAAGTGTAATTTCCCTTCAGGCATAAAATCTGGTCTGTGTTCCTAAAAATGAGATAACAAAGCGTACTTCAGTGATTTTTGCTTGTGTACTCAAACAGGCTTTTGGGCACTTGGAAGATGTTACAAAACTTAAGGAGAGGAAGGTGGTTGGCTACAAATGCAAATTTTGTGTAGAAGTCCATCCAACGCTTCGAGCCATCTGTAATCACCTCCGCAAGCATGTCCAGTATGGGAATGTCTCATCTGTTTCAGCTACAGTAAAGGTAAGGATTTAAAAAGGTGAATGAGGCTGACTGCAACTTAGAATGATAGAATCGTAGAATGTTTGAGTCATAGAATAGGTTCAACTGGAAGAGACCTTAAAGATCATAGAGTCCAGCCTTTGTCCCAGCCCTATCAACTGGCTAAACGATGCCCCCCAACGCAACATCCACCTGGCTCTTAAACACCTCCAGGGAGGGTGACTCAATCCCCTCCCTGGGCAGGCTGCTCCAACGCCTGACAACCCTCTCAGTAAAGAAATTGTTC